AAATTTCCTATTATTTGTTTTTATATTTTAAAAATAATTTTTAAAAATATTTAAATTTTTTATATATTTTTTAATATTTTTAAATTATTTTGATATGTTGATGTTAAAAATAATTTTTAAAAAATATAATAAAAATATTATTTTAATATATTTCTAAATAAAAAATATTTTAAAAAATAATTATATTTGCAAACAGTCCCTCACGGATTACTATGTTAACATGAATAAAAACACCATCCACTACCTCACACATGACCATACAGAACTAACAGTCACTCTTGATTATGTTGACTTATGGTTTAATAGCATTTCTTAAGCTGGACATTAGCATGTCAACTGCACTGTCTTCAGCATCAACTTCGTTGACAAAGTCATCACCTTTTTTTAATTGACCATCCATGTAACAAGCATCCTTTAAATCATGTTAATTGTAATCATAAATAACAGATGTGATGAGGAGGAGTATACCGTGGTTGTAGTGGTGATAATTATAATAATAATATAATATAAATAAAAGTGTATTTAAAAAATAATAATGTTATCATCATAAAATATATTAATAGAAGATGGGTAATGGTTGTATAGTTATAATAATCTATTTTCTTGGTTAAAAAATATTAATTGAAGTGATGGTAGCGGTTGAAGTATGATAGTTAAACTTGGCTGATATAAGATTTAGGCTAAAAATTTGATGGATTAATTTAAACCAATCCAAATAATATTAGTTCAATTTTTTAAATTAAAATAGCATTGTTTTTTTTAAAAAAAATCAAATCAAGTTTTAAAAAAATTAATTAAATAATTAGTTAATTTATCCAGAGCCAACTTCAAGTTGGACCTTTTGACACTTAACTCATGCCATAAGATAAGTCGGCGAGACATTAAACCCACTAAACCCGCTCAAAGTTAATAATTATGATACATATAATAAATAAAATAATATATCAAATCAATCCAAATAAAATAATAATTAAACTTGGCTAATCTAAGATTCAGGCTAAAAATTTGATGGGTTAATTTAAATCAATCTAAATAATATTAATTTAATTTTTTAAATCAAAATAGCATTGTTTTTTTTTAAATCAAATCAAATTTTAAACAAATTAATTAAATAATGAGTTAGTTTGTCCAGAGCTAACTTCAAGATGAATCTTTTGACACCTAACCCATGCCATAAGATAAGTCGGCGAGGCATTAAGCCTATTGAGCCTGCTCAAGGTTAATAATCATGATACATACAATAAATAAAATAATATATCAAATCAATCCAAATAAAATAATAGTTAAACTTGGCTAATCTAAGATTTAGATCAAGAATTTAATGGGTTAATTTAAATCAATCCAGATAATATTAATTCAATTTTTTAAATTAAAATAGCATTGTTTTTTTAAAAATCAAATCAAGTTTTAAAAAAATTAATTAAATAATGAGTTAATTTGTTCAGAGCCAACTTCAAGTTGAACCTTTTAACACTTAATCCATGCCATAAGATAAGTCGGCGAGGCATTAAGCCCACTGAGCCCGCTCAAGGTTAATGATCACGATACATGCAATAAATAAAATAATATATCATCCTTGTTTTTATAATCATAAAGTTGTATTTAATTTCTGTTCCCAGCCTATTATTTTATTTTTATTTTTATTGTATTTATTTCAACCAAATACCTATAAATAAAGAATGAAACTTTCATTTTCATTCCCACCATTCCATTTCTTATTACAAGATAACACCAACAAATAGACTTTTATGTATTATTTATTGTATTTTGCAATATCAACCAAACATAAAGATGCTTATTTTATCTTATACAACAATATTAAACATTTCACTTATTATAACCCAAATTTTATCCCCTCCCAAAAATTTTCAAATTTTCCCAAAAAACTTTATTTCCTGTTTCAAAAAATAATCATTTTCAAACAAAATTTTTTAAAGAAAAAGGTTTCATGCTTACAATCACACAAGAATTTAATCTACAATTAGTAAAAAAATAACACAAGCATGTAATTTGGTGTTTAATTGAAGAGAAACTAGAAAAAAAATTGAAAATGGTTATAATTGAAATAAATAGAAAACCAGTGATCAAGATAGAGAAGACATGGGTATGTTTAGATTCCATAAAACTAACAAGCAAAGCAATACGAAAATAGATGAAATTATTATTTTTTTTTAAAAAAGAGTACAAGGATGGAGTCTAGATTAAAAAAAAAAAAGAGTACAAGGATGGAGTCTAGATTCACTCACATAACCCACAAATTAATAAAACCATCTAATAAAACCCATAATTCAAGATTCCACATCATAATTAATGTCAAAACAAACACATTAAATCGGGTCACAAAATTACCATTAGGTTGTGTTTGGTTTTAGGTTAATTGGGGGTTAAATGTTAATAGATCAACATTTTTCTCTCCTTAACCGTGTTTGATATCCTGTAAGAGGTAGGGGAAAGTGAAAGAGTTGGGACTTGACTTTATTCTCAGGGTTAAGTGTTAACCTAACTAGGGGTAGGTTAAATGTTAAGGCCGTGCTTGGTCTAGGATTAAAGATTGAAGTTGAAGTATTAATGGATTAAGCATTAAAGGATGAAATGCCAGTAATATAAAAAAGTGATGGAAGAGTAAAATGTTAAAATTATATACTTGGTGTGTAAAAATCAAATGTAATGGTGGAACCTAGTAAATTTAAAATCATAGTTTAAATTAAATATAATAAAAATAACATATATTTTTGAATTGTTTGTATAAAAGGCTACTCTGAATAAAAAAATCTTGTAAATTTTTCTCAAATTAGGGTTAAGGGTTAACCCTTTATTTTTTTTATCATATTTATTTTTATATTTTAAAAATTTATTTTAATTATTTTTATATTTTAAAATTATTTTAATACAATAATATAAAAAATATTTTTTAATATAAAAAATATTATTTTTATATATTTTCGAGAAGAAAAAACTACCATGTTACGTTACATTTAGTTTACACTTCATCTCTTTGAAACTTAATTTATTTTCACTCACATAACCCACAAATTAATAAAACCATCTAATAAAACCCATAATTCAAGATTCCACACCATAATTAATGTCAAAACAAACATATTAAATAGGGTCACAAAATTACCACTAGGTTGTGTCTGGTTTTAGGTTAATTGGGGGTTAAATGTTAATAGATCAACATTTTTCTCTCCTTAACCGTGTTTGATATCCTGTAAGAGGTAGGGGAAAGTGAAAGAGCTGGGACTTGACTTTATTCTCAGGGTTAAGTGTTAACCTAACTAGGGGTAGGTTAAATGTTAAGGCCGTGCTTGGTCTAGGATTAAAGATTGAAGTTGAAGTATTAATGGATTAAGCATTAAAGGATGAAATGCCAGTAATATAAAAAAGTGATGGAAGAGTAAAATGTTAAAATTATATACTTGGTGTGTAAAAATCAAATGTAATGGTGGAACCTAGTAAATTTAAAATCATAGTTTAAATTAAATATAATAAAAATAACATATATTTTTGAATTGTTTGTATAAAAGGCTACTCTGAATAAAAAAATCTTGTAAATTTTTCTCAAATTAGGGTTAAGGGTTAACCCTTTATTTTTTTTATCATATTTTTTTTTTATATTTTAAAAATTTATTTTAATTATTTTTATATTTTTAAATTATTTTAATATAATAATATAAAAATAATTTTTAATATAAAAAATATTATTTTTATATATTTCCGAAAAGACAACACTACCATGTTACGTTACACTTAGTTTATTAGATTCCACTTCATCTCTTTGAAACTTAATTTATTAATATTTGATCAAACATTATGATACTTTACGTTTCAATCACTTTTTTATATTCTCAACACTCTATCTTCGAACATTTACTCTATTAATACTAAAATTTCCAGTTTTCAACTCCGAATCAAACACAACTTTAGTGTTGGTATGTTTTAAAATGCACGAGGAGAATGTTATAAAATTTTATTTATTTATTTATTTATTGTCATAATTCACCCTGCAATCTCTTCCTACAATAAATGACAATTTTTCTTTTGGACATGCAATTGCCAATAAAATCAATCAAATGCCATGGAAACCGTGTTTCCGGCTGTTAACGGTAACGTTAAGTGTATTTATTTTTATGTTTTAAAAATATTTAAAAAAATTAATTTTTTTTATTAATTTTAAATTAATATATTTTTAATATTTTTAAATTATTTTAATATACTGATATAAAAAATAATTTTTTAAAAATAAAAAATATCATTAATATGTATTTTAATACAAAAAATTATTTAAAAAATAACCATGATCATATTGCCAAATAATTTTTTACATCCAAAAAATAGTTGAATATTTTTGAATTTTAATATATTAATATTAAAAATATTTTTTTAAAAATAAAAAAATATTATTTTAATATATTAATAAATAAAAAATACTTTAAAAAACTGTCTCAGAGACGAAAGTTGAGGCGTGGGCAACCTAATGGTATAGAAAGGCAGGGTATTTTGAAAGACTTTTTCTTATATTTTACTGATCTTTAGTATAAGAATTTATTTTTGCCTTTTAACCCGCTAAGGATTCTAATTCTAATTCGAATTCTAATTCCAGAGAATCCAAATAGGCTACAGCACCTGGCGATTCTTCTTGTTCCTTCTCAGTTTCCACCGTCTAAATTCTTGTACTTCACACCACACCAATTATTCTCATCGAATCAGTGAAATATTCTTCTCCCTGTAAAAATACCCGAAAGATTTTACAATTTACATGCAATAAGTAGCGTATGAGGATAAAATATATTTTTCTGAACCTTTTTTTTTTAAATTAAAAATATTAGACAGCATTTGTTGGATATATTTCTAAAAAGAAAAACAATTTAAAATGAAACAGTAGTAATAAAAAGCTATTAATAAAAATTAATAGAGAGCCGAAACAATTAAAGATTTTACTAATTTACAAATCCCACCCCAAAAAACCACATATTCGACTTTCGCTGTCCACCTAAAAAAATATCCACAAAATCGTAGTTAGCGTTAAAAAAATGTATGAAGAGAATAACGAGTAGTAGGCCACTGCTCTCATCTCCTCTTCTTCGTCTTCTTCGTCGACCTCCCATCTCTTTAGCGGCGGCTAGGGTTTCTTCAAAACAACCTTATCTCTCCCCCTTCACTTCTCTCGCTCGCTTCTTCTCCACCATGTCTGGAGGCATCGATTCTCCGCAACCTGACGTAGACTGGCCAGCGAATAGAGTACGCGATACCTTCATCAAGTTCTTCGAAGAGAAGAAACACGTCGATTGGAAATCTAGCCCTGTAGTTCCTGTCAACGACCCTACTCTCCTCTTCGCCAATGCTGGTACGCAAAATCCGCATCTTATTACCATTTTTAATATAATTTCATTTCAATTCTGCCCTTTTTTTGTTAATTTAGTTTAATTTCTGAATGCGTATTAGTCAACATTTAATTTAGTCTAATTCTTTCTTAATTTTTAGTTTAATCTTGAATGCGTATAATTATTTATTCGCACTCTTTACGTGTGATTTTGTGTTTTAATTTTAATTTTTGGTTTTGATAGGAATGAATCAATTTAAGCCAATATTTTTGGGAACCGCGGATCCAAATACGGCATTGAGTAAGCTGTCGCGTGCCTGCAACACGCAGAAATGTATACGCGCGGGAGGGAAACATAATGATTTAGATGATGTTGGAAAAGATACATATCACCATACCTTTTTCGAGATGTTAGGGAATTGGTCTTTCGGTGATTATTTTAAAAAAGAAGCAATTGAGTGGGCTTGGGAGCTTCTAACTAAGGTAGGTTAGTTATTTTAATTTTGTGAGGTTTGTTGTGTTTTGGTGTTGTTTTTTATGTTTTTATTTGGGTTGTTGTAGGTTTATAAGTTACCGGCTGATAGGATTTATGCGACGTATTTTGGTGGGGATGAGAAAGCAGGGCTGGCACCTGATAATGAAGCTAGGGATATTTGGCTTCAATTTTTGCCACCGGGAAGGGTGCTTCCATTCGGCTGTAAAGTATGTGGTTCATTATCCTCAGTTTCTGTGTTGACAAGGGTCGTGCTTTTTTAGTTTAAAAAATGTTTTTTGGAATTAATTTGAAGTGGGAGTGCTGAATTGGTTTAGAGGAAATAGACTTTTAGTGGCAGTGTTAAATAGTTAGTATCTATGCACACAATTGGTGGAGAAACGTTTTCTTTGTATTTTCTTTGGTGTTAGTCTTTGTGTTGACCATGGTTTTCCTACCGTGGTTTTATGTTATTTGAGGTGTGAAATTTCATTATGAACATATTGGGATTGAATTGCTTAAAGAATGTTAATTTTGATGGAAGCAATTAATAGACAACCACAATTTCCATAACCAAGCTGTTCTCTACGTGCTTGCATCATAGATTTCTTAAGCAACTCCTTTTTTGGATTTTTGGATGTTTTGTAATCCATATTATTTGAATTTTTCTTTCTTATGAGGTTCTCTGTTATAATAGGCTTTAAAACTTAACATCTAATGTTTTGTTTTGGCCTTTGAATAGGATAATTTTTGGGAGATGGGTGATACTGGTCCTTGTGGACCGTGTACTGAAATTCATTACGATAGAGTTGGTAATCGCAATGCAGCAATGTTGGTTAACAATGATGATCCTACATGCATTGAAATATGGAATCTTGTCTTTATTCAGGTATTACTTTTCTGGCATGCCTTGTACTCTAGAATTGCCAAGTGGTACTTTTGCACGTGCTATCTTGCTAATCATCTTAAAGAGGCTTATGCTTTATAATTTGTCACAATGATATATTTTTGCCTACATGAGTTGGTAACGATTTCTGTTGTCTCATTTCATTGCAGTTCAACCGGGAAAGTGATGGTTCCTTGAAATCCTTACCTGCTAAGCATGTTGACACTGGAATGGGTTTTGAAAGATTGACTTCTGTACTTCAGAACAAGATGAGCAATTATGACACTGATGTGTTCATGCCCATCTTTGATGCTATACGGCAGGTAAAATATGATGCTTGTTTTTTCTTCTTTCTTGGGTGCCTTATAGCTGGTTTCAAACTAGTTGTGATAGCAAATTGAACACAATACATAGATTAATTGAATTTGTATGTTTGAAACTCATTTCATTGTAAAAGAATTCAATGAACCAATAAATAAATCTTTCATTATAAGCAAAACTTGAAGTAATAGAAGCAAAAGGCTTGAAAAATAGAATAACTAAATTGTAGACGGCACGAGCATGAAAGTGATTTGGGTTTAATGGGAAAGTTAATCATATAAGTTGCTGGGTATTTTGGGAATATAATTTTCAATGTTAATTTTTTAGAGTTATTGGTGTAAAGCATATTGGTTGGCCTCTGATTTATATTAGTAATGATTCTAGATATTGAGTTTTATTTGGAAATCAACTCTAGTCCCTCAAAGTGGTTTCAAACATGAGAAATCTTTAAAACCTCCAATTGAATTAGATCTGGAGGTTTCCAAAATCCTTGTCAGTGGTTTTAAAACTACAGCTGTGGATATGAATAGTTTTTGGGGCATTCTTGAAACTATACCATAGGTTTTTTAAAATAAAACTAAACCTACAATGACATCCTTTTTTTCTCTTAAAAAATTGTATGCAGGCAACAGGGGCACGGCCTTATTCTGGAAAAGTTGGGGCTGATGATGTAGATGGGGTTGACATGGCTTACAGGGTGGTTGCTGATCACATTAGAACACTCTCATTTGCTATTGCTGATGGTTCTTATCCAGGTAGATTAATGAAGACCTCCCTGACTTTTAAATGGATTTGCATGCTTACATGTTTTTTTTTTCCTGAATGAAGTGAATAGCTTCTAACATTTTGGTTGTGTTGTAGGCAATGAGGGTCGTGAGTATGTCCTCAGGCGTATTCTTCGCCGTGCTGTTCGATATGGTAGTGAGGTCTTGAAAGCTCAAGAAGGATTTTTCAATGGGTAGGAATGAAAACTGTAATGTCCTTGTTGTGTTCATTACTGTTTGTCTATTGTATCCATTGAAATGCAACCATTGCTTAATTTGGTCTTACGACTAAATTTTGTTGTTAATGAATGCAGGCTTGTAAATGTTGTTGTGAAAGTGATGAGTGATGTTTTCCCAGAGCTGAAACGAAATGAAGAACACATTAGGGAGACTATTGCAGCTGAAGAAGCAAGTTTTGGCAAGACTTTGCTCAAGGTGAGGATGAGTTTTGTATAGTCTACTGCTATTGACTATCAAGGAAACCGTTTGGTTAAATTGATCTGTTAATGTTCTTTTATCTTTTTCTAAATGGCATTGTGTCTACTCATTTTTTTGGATAACTAAGGTTCTTCTTTTGGCAACATAAAACAATCAGTATCATAAGAGATTTTTTCTCTTTAGGTGTTAACTTGCACATGTTAGGCTTAGGTACATTCTGTACCCTAAGAAACCAATAGTAAAGTATCACCAAGAAACTAAAAGTTTCAAAGTGCAGATATGATGTATATCAATATGAGAATATTTTTGGGTTAACTTCACCATTGCATTTCTTATCAATATGAGAAAATTTTTTGGGTTAACTTCACTATTACATTTCTTTTGAATCTTCTTGGTCTTTGACATTGACATGCTCCCATTTTCTTCATTTCATGCTTTTATTGGATTGTTATCCTAGTTGCATTGAAGTTGGTGCATTCTTTTTAGATAAGTTTCTTAAAGCCTTACAGTGGAACCTGCACTATTTGTTTGCAATGCCACATGTCTATTTAAAAACTTTGGCTGATCATCATTTTATTTTCAGGGAATTGAGAAATTTAAAAAGGCTGCTCAAGAGGTTGAGGGGAAGGTGTTGAGTGGGCAGGCAAGTACATGTCTACATGCTTCTAATTGATAAACATAACAAGGTTCTCACCTGCTTTGATGCACTGAAGAAGGGAGAGAACTTGCACCGGTTTTACTTGGTTTCTCTTCATCTTGGTTGATCTCTTGTTTGTAGGATGCGTTTGTCTTGTGGGATACATATGGCTTCCCATTAGATTTGACTCAGGTACTCCTAGGACTTTGTTCCTTTATCTTACATGCGCTCCTATGTGTCATGCATCCTAATTATTTCTGTGGTACCAGTTAATGGCAGAAGAAAGAGGATTGCAGGTTGATGTGGAAGGTTTCAATAATGCCATGGATGAGGCAAGGGAAAGATCAAGAAATGCCCAAAATAAGGTATTGTATCTTCCATTTGTAACTTGCACATGTTAGGCTTAGGTACATTCCCTACCCTAAGAAACCAATAGTATCACCAAGAAACTAAAAGTTTCAAAGTGCAGATATGATGTATATCAATATGAGAATATTTTTGGGTTAACTTCACCATTGCATTTATTATCAATATGAGAAAAATTTTGGGTTAACTTCACTATTGCATTTCTTTTGAATCTTCTTGGTCTTTGACATTGACATGTTAATTTCTTTTAAATTAACTGTTAAGCTATTACCATTCCTCAGTAGAGCCATTTGCTAAAAGCCATTCCAACCAGGGCAAGAAAAAATAAGAACCAAAGAAGTATCATGGAGCTAAATAAAATATCAAAGCAGTGAAGTTGAGATTTGTGTGAGGAAATACAGTGATTTACACCCTTGTCACCCTTTTACTAATGTTTTTCTTTGGCAGCAAGCTGGTGGTGCTATCGTCATGGATGCTGATGCGACATCTGCATTGCACAAGAAGGGTGTTTCTGCAACAGATGATTCCTTCAAATATATTAGTTTTGAGGTCAGTGCATGTATTCTTGTTGGTTGCAAAAGTTTGTTTCCTGTGTTTTTGAGTTGGATTCAGTTTATAATTTGTACAAAGCAATTTGTAAAACTGTTTAAGTGACAATTTCACCATGCCCGAGTTTGTGTCACCCATGTATTTTTTCAGGATCATGAAAGTGTAATAAAAGCTATCTACAATGGTTCTGAGTTCTTGGAAAGTGCTGCAGCTGCCAATGAAGTCGGTATTGTTCTGGAGTCTACTAGTTTCTATGCTGAGCAAGGTGGACAGGTATCTTGTTCATTAGATCACTTTAACTACCCTGATGTGTTTGAATTCTCTTGATTGGACATTCATGAGATTTGACTTGTGAATTCAATTGGAAAATGACATGGATTTTTTTTTTTTTTTTTTATGTTTCTGAATACCACTTTTTCTTGGTGTTAGATATTAGATTCATAGGTTTTGAGAATGATACATGAACTGCTTATCATCAGAGTTTTGCATTGTATGTTTCACTTTTCCCTTTTTTATTTTGTTAAACCGCTTCTTATGAGTCTCAGTTTTCTGGTCCTAGATTTTTGATACTGGAGTACTTGAAGGCCCTTTTGGTTCATTCCAAGTTTGCAATGTCCAAATTTTTGGAGGATTTATTGTTCATATTGGTTCTCTTACTGGAGTCAGTGGCAGATTTTCTGTAGGTGAAAAAGTTACCTGCAAGGTATTACTGGCAATATGCCAATCTGTATTTTTTTTGCATATTATTTTGGTGTTTTACATTTATGTGTGGCATTTTTCACTACTCGTAATGATAAATATTGTGCAGGTTGACTATGATAGGCGTAAGCTCATTGCTCCTAACCATACCTGTACGCACATGTTGAATTTTGCTCTCAGGGTATGCTCCATAGGCCCTTTATCCATGAATTTATGTATTGTTAATGTCTTGCGAGTGAAAACAGTGTTTTTTTTCTGAATGTTGTGTAATATGAAATCAGGAAGTTCTTGGCAATCATGTTGACCAGAAGGGATCAATTGTTCTTCCTGAAAAACTAAGATTTGATTTTTCTCATGGTAAGTTTTATTAGAGGATATCCTACTGGTGAGAGGTTCAACGTGGTTGTTTCTTTTTATATAGTTGTTTTAAAATGCTATTGGAATTTGTATAGGTAAACCAGTGGATCCTGAGCTTTTAAGAAAAATTGAGTCAATTGTGAATGGGCAGATCAAAGATGAATTAGGTGTATTTGCAAAGGAAGCAACCCTTGCTGAAGCCAAGCAGATCAATGGTTTGCGAGCTGTTTTTGGAGAAGTGAGATTGGCAGCTTTATATGCTCCTTAGATTTTTTTGCATGCCGTCTTTCATCTCTCTCTCTCTCTCTCTCTCACTCACTCACTCACTCTCTCTCACTCTCTCAGGTCTATCCTGATCCAGTTAGAGTTGTTTCAATTGGTCGAAAAGTTGAGGACCTCCTAGCTAATCCAGAAAATGAAGAATGGTTATCTATCTCAGCAGAACTCTGTGGAGGTTATTGTTTTATATAATGATATTACTTCTGTTTTGGCCTGCTTTAAATTTCTGGTTGACAGCGATTTTATCAAAATAATTGCAGGGACACATATAACAAATACCCGGGAAGCAAAGGCATTTGCACTTTTATCTGAGGAGGGAATTGCAAAAGGAATTCGAAGGATAACTGCTGTGACAACTGATGGTGCTTTTAAAGCAATGGAATTGGCATGCTCGCTAGAGCAGGAAGTTGATGAGGCATCTAAGGCAGATGGAAGTTTGCTGGAAAAGGTCTCTTCAAAAAACTTCAGTTATTGACTTTTATCTTTTTTTGTTTTGCATCACTCGGTTGCTTTAGCAACAGTAGGATTTCAAGCTTTTATCCATCCTGAAGCCAGTCTTTGGAAATAAAGTGAGTGGACCTTTATTGAGGATGTCTGTTTGCTTTGGTTAGAAAGTTTAAGTTTCACGTTTCAACACATTGACTGCATTTATTTCCGGTTATGTGGGCTTCAGATAAGAAGATAAGAATAACACTCAGGAGTCATTAAATGTATTGTCACTAATCATGTTTATGAGTACCTTTTAAGTTTTACATCTTATAATATGTCCACTGAATATTTATTTATTTATTTTCCTTTTAATAGAAAGTAGCATCTCTTAAAACTCGTGTGGACTCAGCGCTTATTCCAGCAGCCAAGAAAGCTGATATCAGGGCCAAGATTTCAGTACTACAGGTATTACAGCCAAGCTAAAATGCTACCGTTCCTGTTTCTATTCCTTGTTTTCATTTTGTATTTCACATCTGCTCTAGATTATACTAAAACGGTTCTGTATCAGAATAAAGTGAGGAAAGCACAAAAGAAGATTGCTGAAGAGAACATGCAGAAGGCTGTTGAGGTTGCAACTGAGATGGCTGAAGTTGCCTCTTCAGATGGGAAGGCCTTCTGTATCTCTCATGTTGATGTCGGTCTAGATGTAGCTGCTGTCCGAGAAGCTGTTTTGAAAGTCTTGGATCGGAAGGTTTTTAGCCTTTTCCAGCTCTTTACATATAACAGTTTGCTCCCCCCTTTTTTTTTTTATACAATCTTGGTGTGTGGACAGGGCATTTCTGCTATGGTTTTCAGCACTGATGAAAGCACAAACAAGGTTGTGGTGTGTGCTGGTGTGCCAGAGAAGCTGGACAAGGGAAAGGGGTTGGAAGTATCAGAGTGGCTAACTACTGCGTTGGGGCCTCTGAAAGGGAGGTGCGGCAAAGGAAAAGCGGGCCTTGCCACCGGCCAGGTTAGTTCTCGTACTAATAGATAGTTTTATATGCTTCACATCCAGAAGTTGAAAGTCAGCCCCTCGTGGAAATTTAACATTTTAAAGCGCTAAATTGGTTGTTAAAGTCTCAGATTTTATGGGAATTTCAAACCGAGTATCAATTGTTCTAAAGATGTTTCCAGACACAAGATGAGCATTTCTTTGTGGGGCTGTGGAACCATCCTGTGACATGATATTTTGTTTGCGTAGAAAATAGAACAAAACTTTTGAAAGTGGATCCAGCTTTCATCATGCTCTGAGCGTTTAATCTACTCTGCTAATCATGGAAGTTTCGTTTCAGGGAACTGATGCATCGCATTTGGATGAGGCCATGGGTTTGGCAACAACATTCGCACAGATGAAGTTGAGATGATTGATTGATGTTTTTTAATCTTATTTGTGTTGCTGCTACGTGATATCCCCGCTACTTGTCGACAAACTTATTCGAGTTACTGAAACGCACACAGAAACAGTGATTATACAGTTGCTGGTACAAGCAGCTAGGTAATTGAAGACAATTCATTGCTGGGTATAACTGTTAATTTATAGAAAATGATACTGATTTTTCCAGTCCTTTTTGCCTACCTTTTGTTTTCTTCTTGGAAATTCGTGCACAAGAATATCATTATTCTTTGTCTGTAACAAAAGTTCGGCTCACATCGCTAAGGACTTCAGTCATAGGCCAGCTCATAAAATCTGCAACTTTAATCCGTTGTCTGACGTGCTTGTTTGAGCCTGGTAAATGCTGTTTCGGATTGGATAGGTACTGGATCATGGATCTACGTTCTGTTTAAAAATATATACTGCTGATACATGTATATATTGTTTTAAAAAAAATAGATTGGGCGGGTTGATCTTATATGATAAAGTTGGCTCGGAAAAAACAAAGAATCAAATAAAATTTAAGATTTGTTAATATTAAAATGATAGTATTATCAAATTCATACCTCTAATAAATTATGATAATTTTAATATAAAACAAGTTAAAATAAATTATAAAGTTTAATTTTTAATTAATTAATTTAATATTAAAAAATAAAATAAACATTTCTACTTTGATTTATTATATTAAAAATAAATTATTTATTAATTTAATATTAAAAAATAAAATTAAAAAATCTATTAAAAAAACAACTCAAATTATTCTATGTAATTGTTATGAGATTAGGATAATTTTATAAAAAAAATTATAAAAACAACTTGATTTAACTTATCAAACTTATAACTTTAGAGTTAATTTAAATTAACTTATCAAACTTATAACTTTAGATTTATATAGTTAGGATAACCTGATAAAAAATAAATTATAATAAATTATAAAATATAATTTTTAATTAATTTGAAGTTAAAGAATAATATTAAAAAAATAATAATTTTAAAGAGTGAAAAAAATAAATTAAGTCAACTATTTAGTGATTCGATTTGTAAAACATATAAATCAAACTAAAATAAATCATAAATCATAAAAGTGAATTCTTAACTAGTAAATTATTAAATAAAAAAATAAAAAAATAAATTAAATAAATTAATCAATTAAATTCATAAGAATATCAAACTAAAATAATTATATAAAATAAAAATTAAAACAAACCATAAAATTTAATCATTACCGCACACTAAATGCTGAGTTGTGCTTCATCTTAGCCTGGCAAGCAGTAGGGTCAGGTTCTGGCTCCTTATTTCTATGCCAGCCTGTCCTGCCCGGCTGAGCCTGCTGAGGTTAAATATCAAAGTTCGAAGTTCTGATTTTTCATTTCATTTGTTTTAAAGCAAAAAAATGTTAGCAATTTTCTTTATAATTTTCATTTCCATACTTATTATCCATTGTTTTATCGTTAGATTCTGTCCATGCACGAAAACTGATGGAAAGCCCGACTTGGTGAAGATTTCAATTTCTTTTTTAGATAGGTAAATATTTTGATTTTGTTTTTGACGCCTTGTTTATGATTTCGTGAAGATTATTTTTTAAAGTATTTTTTATTTATAATATAAATTAGTATATTAAAACATCTAAAAATATATAAAATTAAATTAAATTAAAATTAAAATTAAAATTAAAATTTTTAAATACTTTTTAAATATAAAGATAAATATATAGCTGGCGCTATCTAGATTCCAACCCAAACCAGACGAGTCAATGTATCCGGTCTACCTGTGATCAATGTCAGCTTCGATGACTAGACTCTGCAGCTGACTCCAGCAAGGATCTACGATTTTTCCTATTTCACCAATTTTTTTCATAAACAACATCCTTTTGTGGTAATTAGGATGATTTATTTGATCATGGTCTTCTGTGTCCTATCGGTTTTAATGTTTTAGAGAGTCACTAGTCTGATTCCTTCCTTGTGTTGCGAGGGCGAGCAATTCCTTTTTAAAATAAATAAATATGATCATATTTTGAGATTAATCTAGTATTTTACGTGTTTTACAATTCAATCATCTATATTTTAAATTGGTATTTTTACAACAATTATAAACCTAATCTCATCTAATTAGTTTATAAAAAAGATTAAATAAAAAAATTGAATCACAGCATTAACCCAACTCTTAGTATAATAATAATAATAATAATGACAATGACAATGAAAGATATCTGTTTATTTTTTTTTAAAAGTATAAAGTTAAAGATCCAAAAGAAATTTAAATAAAAATACTTTATAATTTAATAATTTTTATCTCAAGTTTTATAATTATTTTTTAAAATATTTTTATTACTATCAAAATAATACTCCATCCTCGATTTAAGTAAGAAAATAATAAATAAATATTATAATCAAACTCCATCAATAACTAAAAACCAAAAAACTTTTAATTTAACAATAATTTTCTTATTATACTTGTAAAAATATTATGAATCTAAGTCTTCCATTTACACTAATCTTAAATTAAATAATAGCTCAATTATATGTAGCCCGTTATCTTAAGAATAAATAATCTGGATATTTGATGAATTTTATTTTCCCTTTCCTGTAATGCAAACTAACAAAAAAAAAAAAAAAATTCTCTCATCGTACCAAATTTTGCGACAGACGGGTCCAATACTCCATCGGAAGACATATACATTCCAAAATTCCCACTTTTAAATAAATTGACCAATCTGTCCTCACAGCTTTGTCCGTCGTAAGCGTAGCCTCTGCTTTAAACCTCCCTCGCCTAATAATCTGTCAAAATCATTACTTCAGATAACAATTTAGTACCCGTAGGTTTAATGACATTCCATTTCGGTACCCTTAGCTTCAATTTTCCCACACTAGCCTTGTAGGTTTGAAAAGCTTCCACTATACCTCTTATCATAGGCTATTTGGTTATTAAAGGAGAATCAAGTGAATAAAAATAAATATTTTATATTTATTTTCAAAAAAAATAAAAATGAAAAACCTGAATTTAATGGATTCAAATCTTCTAAATGTCTTGTTTCATGTGTTTAAACACATTGATTTTATGGTTTCTGTTTAGAAGAGGAGCATGACTCAATAAGCTCAATCTAAAAGAGGAGCCCGACTCTATAAGTTCATTATAGAAAGCATGTTTGAACTTATTTTTTTAATTTTTGATAGATTTGGACAACTTACCTAAGCCAATTTTTTATTGGAAATTTTTTTATGACCCATATATATATATATATATCTTGATATTTTATAATAACTAAATATATATTATTTTTAATATAATACAACTCAAAATATAAAAATAGTAAAATTACTCTCTAACCCTTTCTTTCTATAAAATAACAAGATTAATAAGCAATAAATACACCATGAATCCTTCAAATTTAAGGTTTATAATCTTTTCATTCTTAACATTTCAGTATATATTTTTTCAAAACCTATTTTTTTTTAAAAATATTTTTGCATTTTATTTCTACAAAATTACTTATTTAAACATTTATTTAAGGAAATATTTTGTAAGTACTAATTACCGTGTTTTCCATATAAAATCACAAGATACTAAGAGAATGAATTAATGTTTTTCAATACATAAATCTTCTTTCTAAACATTTTGAAATTTAGAATCATTTTATATAAAATAAAGAGTGAAAACTGATTAAAAAAAACTATGTGAAAAGAGGCTTCTGTTTTGCTATCTTTTTAGTTGTTCGGTAATGGGGACTACCTCCTCCTAACTTATAGTCTACAACATTGGTATTGAAATAATCTAAACTATAGTGGCTAAAAGTAAATATTACTAAGCTTACAGGACCCAAATATAATCTACCCTCATTCACTCTTTTAAGGTCAATACCGTCATTTGAAAAACAGACACTCACAATATCACGTCCGTTGTCTCTCTCTCGCTCTCTCTTTGTCGCCGGACCTGAGGTTTCTGTCACCGGTACCGGCGGGTTTAAAGAGTTTTTTTTTTCTTTTCTGAATTACCGAAATGGAGAAACTCTAGAGTTATTCAAACAACAGTTTGTCTCATTCTCGACAAGAAGAGATGTCTCGGCAAACGACATCATCTCATTTTCATAAATCGAAGACTCTTGATAACAAATATGTGAGTAGTCCATGATTCTTATAATCCTTACTGGTCATGCCATATTAATGTATGTTATGGCTTTAATTTTATGCTTGGCTGCTGAGAAAATCGAGGTTGAAAAGAGAATTTCTCGATTTTATTTTTTCTTTTAGTTTTTTTGATGGTGTATTTGAAGTTTATGACTTGAGATTTAGTAGATAAGGAAATCAATTTGGAATTTAAATAAAAACGAGAATTTAATTTGTACTTAGTTAATTTTAGTTTTTCCTTATCTTTTTCTTAATTTTTAGTATTTTTTATTTTAATTTTGATTGATTTTGTTTCCTGATTGTCTCTTAACTAATTAGCTTTAGTCAGTATCGATTTAAGTGCAAATGCATGATTTTTAAGCGACTCTGGTTTTTTTTTGGTCTAGATGCTTGGAGATGAGATTGGAAAAGGAGCGTATGCTCGGGTCTTTAAAGGGTTGGATTTGGAGAATGGAGATTTTGTTGCGATCAAACAAGTTTCATTGGAGAATATCGCCCAAGAGGATCTTAATATCATCATGGTTTGTTTCTAAGTTTCTCTTAAAGATGTGTGCACGTGTGGGCACAACTCTTTTAGTCTTGAAATGTTGCTAGCTAATTAAAGATGATGAAGTGAACTATTATAAAAAAGATTTCATGCTACCGTCTTAAGTTCACTAGGTTTGTTGATCATATCACTATCCCAACCCATGAAAAGCCAGAAATTTTATCACGGACTTGCTTTGGGAAAAGCCAACCCATTTTCTGGGGTTGTTTAAGGGTTGACCAAGTTGAATTAAGTATTTGAAACATTGACTACTGGCATCTTACCAAAATGGTTTTGTAGTGGTTACGGTTATAGTCTTTTCCCTATCAATTCTATTCCTTATGTGGACTTCCTTTTAGCACTTGTGTCTGCTGAAGGCTCACTCATGATATATTCATTATACTTGGAAAATGATAACAATCAGTTAGGTACCTGATATTTCCCTGCTATAATTGGTCCTTAACCAGGTTTGGGTAGTCTCTGACATCACAACTTTTTAATTGGCAACCTATATCTCATTGGTTGTAAGAGCAGGTGATGGGTGCTAAAATATAAGAATTGTTGCTTTTATGCTTCTTTATCTGGTTTTTTCTATAATTTTTCAGTCTCTACCTTGTAAGTTTAGCTAACAGCTTGGTCCGTTTCTTTTGGGTACAATTTCTTCCGTGTAATGTGTTGATGCTTCA